CTTCCTTTAAAGTGCAATATCATTAAAAATAAGCATAAAATATATTTAAAAAAAGTAGATAATTATAGGCATGTCACCAATAAAGAAATCAAGAGATTATTATAGAAAACAGTTAATCCTAGTATGAAGAATTGGTCTATTAGGTAGGATGAAACATTGTGTGCTTATCGAACTATTTCTAAGACCTTTATAGATCTATTATGTTATAGGCTGATTTTTTGTAAAGTTTGTCATCTGCTAGTAGAACAGAACATAAAGCTTATTGGACAATTAAAGAATTAAACTATAATTTAAGAGATTGGGCATAAAGAAGATTGATGCAATTAAATAAATTGGATGAAATTAGAAAAGAGGCTTATGAGAATGCTAAAATCATGGAAGAAAAGATGAAAAATTTGCATGATCAGAAGTTAATTAGGAAGGAATTTCAAGTTGGAAGAGAGGTTCTATTACAACGTGCGATTGAAATTGTTTCCCAAAAAATAAAATTCTGAGTGGTCAGAACCATTTACTATAGTCAAACTATACCCATTTAGAGCTATTGGCATTCAAGACAAGAAAAATAACTTTATTTTTAAGGTGAATGGTCAAAGTTTTAAATTGTACTTAAGATGGGATAGAAATGGTTCTAAGGAAATCTTGATGTTAGAATCATCCTGATAGTAAATCTGGCATCGTAAGTTAAGATGTTAAACCTAGCACTATATTAGGAGACAATCCAAAGTGTTATCTGATGTGTTGAGTATGTTTTTACTTTCTGCATTTGTTTTAAAAATTGATTTGAAATTTACTTTTAATTTTTCTTTGAAATTTTTCTAAAATTTGCTTAATTTTTCTATTAGATTAGTGTTGTGTCTTGTCCTCTATGGAGTAGTTTGTCCCTAAGGGTGGGATAGGAGGCGAGAACCCCGATGCTTTATGAGATTATTTATTGTGAGTACTCCTACACATACCTATCTTATCCAGTACTACTACTTCAAGTTATTCATATGTTGGAAAAAAACAATTTTAGGGGAGAAAAGTGTACATTTTGTACAAAACCCAAAAGTAGTTCACATGACTCAGTTAAGGATTTAATGTTACAAGATAACTCCTGCTAGTTAAACTAATTCATTCCAACTATTTATCCTAGTTGTTCTAAAAGAGGATATATATCATTTAGTAAAGATTTACCTAAATGATTTAATAATAAAAATTCAAAACTTAACAAACTTCAAACTTTGCTTAAAGAAATGTATAACAAATTAAAAAGGTGTAATTGAAATATTAAGTGGCCAACCTAAGATGTTTTTAAGCCTTATTCAGTTCATTTTAACTAATTTTATGTAATCTTAATTTTTAAATTGAAAAGATAATCTATGTGTGGCATTAAATTATCATTGTTGAGATTTATTGCTTAAGGAACAGCAGCCTTCGTCATAGTTAAAAGTTAAAAACAAAAATATTGCCAACTAAATACAGTAATTCACAGAAGAAAAATAAAAAATAAAAGGAAAAGAAAAGAAGACAAAGTAAAAATAAAATTAAAAGACCTAAGAAGAAGCTTGAGGTTGCTATAACAAAATTCAAGAAAAAAAAACCAAAAGGGTGGTTAGTGGAACTTAAGTGATGGAGTTTTTCATTATCCTTTAATGAAACCCCTTAAAGTTATCTTCAAATGATAAAAGTTAAGGAATATTAAGTTGGCTAAATCCACTGAAACTATTTTAAAGACATTCAAGGTTAGTGAAAGCTATTTTAAATAACATCAATTTAAGAATCTATGGGTTTTCTTAATGATAGAACAAAAGGAATCAAGGAAAGGGTCGAATTGTTAATCATTAAAGTTAATTGATCCTAAAATGACATTTAAACATCTTTAATTCACTTTGATAAACAAGTTCAAAGGTTAGAACCCTACAAAAGTACCTATTATTCTTATGGAATCGCTACTAAGTTATGAAATTATTTGAGGGCGAGTAGTTGGGTAAGTTTGGAGGTATTAACATGCGTCAATAATATAAGATTTCACCTGCATTTTATCCAGCATATTACCTATTCTTTTCTACTGATTTACCACATATTTATATTTTAGAAAGGCATTTGTTACTGTTTTATAGGTTATTTGTATTGAATACGAGTAATTTGAAATGAGAAAAGCAAACAAAAACGCGTTCTAAAGCGGCATTACCAAGTCTGGAAGCGGCATAACAACGCCTGGAAGCGATATGACCATGTTAAGTGATCAATAACAACGGTGTAACCACGTCACATTCTGTCGTGACCGTGCCATAATTTTAGACCAGCAATGTGACCACTCCAGCCAATTTAGAATCTCAGCATGATCATGCCATATTTCGGCGTGACCAAGCCGACGATGCAAGAAATCATTTTGGAAAGAAATTTCCTTGCCAAATTCATGGATTCAAATATAAGAATGATTATTAGAGCTTCTTAAGGAAGGGGGAAAGAGATTTGGGATGGTGAGAGGTAGAAAATAAGAGATTTTGAGTGATTTTATTATGTTTTCTTCCTTCATTGGGTTGAAACCATAAGGGACTGTGTTTTCCACCTGTTGACTTGTGAATGATGTAGGGGTAGTGTTTTTTATTGTGATTTTCTAAGATTTTTTATAGCGTTTTTTGTGTTTTCATGGCCTATGTTTTTGGTTAACTTCTGTAATTCATTTACTCCTAGTCCGGCCAACCAGGATGTTAAAATATTTCGTGAAGTTGTGACCTCTAACCATTGTGTAGTAGAAATGAAAAGGTTAACCACAGAATCCTGAGACGATAGACAAATTTCAGTTGAATTTTGGAGCCCTTCTAGGGGATCAGAAAATTTCTGTGGAAAGCCATGGAGATTGGGGAAACTTCAACTTCAAATATTTCAATCTTTTTTTGACCTAGATATAACCATAAGGATAACTTTTTATCTCTGGTTGACAGTTATCACGTAGGAAAACATTTAGGAACACCACAATCCACCACTATTCTCGAATCATAGAAGCAAGAGCCTCATCACTCTCTAAAAACTATCAATAATTTCTCTGCTTTTCTATTTTCTGTTGTCTACAATATGTTCTACTTTTGTTAAAACTATCAATAATTTCTCTGCTTTTCTATTTTCTATTGTCTACAATATGTTCTACTTTTGTTATGATTTTAGGATTGAAACGACTTTTACAATCACGCCCAACTAGATTCACTAGATTAGTAAACTAGAGATTTTTCTATGGGAATAATTGTTAAACATTTCCCCATGTGATTGATACGCGGACTCTTAAACAGCATAATGATGGACACGTACACTTGCATTGTACACTTACTTCACAGTATGTTTTGGCATGACAATAGTTTCTTCTTTTATTTACTATATAGATTTTTGTTTTCTGTTTCAGTAGTTTATAGATTGCACTTTACATTTTATTTGTAATTTCATCTAATCTTTATACTTATATTTTTAGTTGTAGCAGTTTGTAGATTGTACTTTATAGTTTCTTCTTTTGTTTATTACTTAAACCTCTATTTTAAGTACCAATAATTGGTTGATTACACTTAATATTTGATCATACTTTTACTTAAAGTTATGTGCTCTAATTAATTTCCCTTTTCTTTCCACTGATGGCTTCTAGAGGTGGGGATGATCTCCCTCCACATGAAGACACAATCGGAGTCAATACCATAGGATATCCGTTCTCAAATGATGATGTGGTATTGTTGTCTAGAAGTAGTTCTTTGTCATTCTCTATCACGACCATTGTTGCTATCAATTTGTCCCCATAAGTCTACACCCCCATGCTATAACTTCACCACACACATTGACTTACACCCCCTCTTCTCCTACCATGCCATCACCGTCTACTTTGGCATAGGCTTATGTTGCTGCTCTCGTTTGAGATGCATTGGGCAGCACAAACTGCATTTTTGAGCTTGAGCATGTTGGATGAGTATGTTTTTCTATACATAAAGTTTGATTATTTTTGCTTAATTTCGGATTAATATTTAGTTCAGAAATGACTTAAGAGATATCTCATAAAATAATTAATTTTTGTTATAATTAATGTAATTTTATAAAATTCTTAATTTTTAAGTGATGAAAAGTTAATTCTATATTTAAATAAGCTTCAGGATATATTAAAATATTTTTAAAAAAAAGTGAATTTTCAAAGAAACTTTTCATGAAATTTGAACTCATTTAAATTTATTTTAAATTAAATGAAATTTTTTCACTATTTAATGAGCTTTTTTATATCAAATCTTGTAAAATTCATTATAAATGCCATAAATAATCACATGATTATCTCACAAAAATTTAAAGTAAATTAAAGATGCTTTTTTAATTTATTTTAAATTATCTACCTTATTGGATAACTATTCTTGAAAAAAATAATAAAATGTGTTTATTGATTCAGGACCAATTGAATTATTTTTTTCCAATTTTGAAGTTGATTAAAAATTTGTAAAATTTTATTCATTTTTTCATAATTTTATTTGTCAAATTTATGGCTTGGCACTTTGAGTGGATTCCTCACTTCTTTATCTCTTTCAAAACTGTGCATGAGACTTTCACCTCGCACGGCTCCTAAGTGATTAAAGAAAGAAGAACTACTCTTCTTTTCTTTCTTTTTTGATTACCTTCCTCGCGGATGTATAAGACCGAAACTATTTGATTTATGGGAGTTTTAACTCAACAATAGTGTGTGAAAATTGCCTAGATAAACATCAAAATTGTGAAATTGGAAACACGAATTGCCTAAATAACATCAAAAATGAAGTTATTTAAACTGAACTTGAACATAGGAAAATCTAGTTATTTCTTCCAAATTCATCATCTTACATATTATGAATGAAAACAGCATAAAAATACAAAAAATAAAAGCCCGAAGAAAACCAAAGTGAACAGTTATGTCACTGTGATCTAATTTTACATATAAAAAATAATAATTAAAATTCATGTCAAACATAACATGACATGAGTACTCCTTCATAGACCCACAAATGCTAATCGTTGGTTGCAGCTTTTCTTCAAGCAAAAATTGCAACTATACCAACCTGCCTACTGGAAGGAGCTTAGCTTTAACATACTGTTGGTCTCCTATGCATTTGGTAATAGCTTCATTAGCCTTTTGAGATCCAGACCTTTCTTCCCTTTTCTTCTTTTCCCTGCAAAATTGTATTATTTTTTATTAAATCTCATAAAAAGTAAATGATTTTATCCTCTATGAATTGTGCCAATCTTAGATTCCAAAGATGGATAAAGAAGAACTGCTCTAAAATTTCAGGATTACCACAAAGCACTCACATATTCTAATTTACTAAGAGTTTATGAGGACTCGTTTGGTTGCCTGTATTATAAGTGTAATGTAGATCCAATGCAAGTAATTGTAAAATTAGAGCATTTGATTGGATGTAAAACAAATGCAAAATGTAAATTTTCCATAAATTTGAAAGTCGCACTTTTAGTTCAAATTTTATATATTTAGAAATCGGTCGATTTGTAAATGCACAGCACAAGCTGTCTTAAGTTGTTCCCCCTCGGAAAGGATTGTTGGCTGTTATAGTCGCCATCACCGTTGGCCACAGCCAGATTTTACATTGATTTCATTTTGCATCAAACCAACACAAAAAAGTAATATCCCGTTTTTGTTTTATGCCTAACCAAACAATTGTAAAATCTTTCAAATACATCAATATTTCAACTATTTTATCTCTTTTTAACAAACCAAATAGCTCCCAGGCCAGTATACTTTCTAGAGTGGATAAATTATGAGATCTTAAAAATTTTCATGGAAATATTGATAAAAAGTTGACAGTTGACGCTCTAAAAAGTTAAATTGTAGCCATATAGAAATATTTTTCATCCTATTTCTCTATTTTTATGCATGCAGATAAGAGATATCTTACCTATCAACATATTCCTTGAGAAGTTCTTTAGCCTGAACCAACTTAGACAGTAGGTTGCGGTAAACATCAAGATCCCTATCCACGCTCCTTTTGTCTATCTTCAAGGCCGCACAAAGCTGTCGACAAGCAAGAACTGAATTTAGGCCAAACGACAATAATGTGAATTTATAGTTTGAATCAAATATTTAATATATATACAAATAGTTACAATATGGATATATAGATTTGTGTAACATAAAATTTATTAAATAAGCATGAGGATAGATATGAAAATATAATTTTGAGAGTTATGGGTGACTAAAATAAAAAGGTAAGCAAAGTAGATAGAAACGAAAAGATTAAGATGGAACTCATAATTCAGAAACACAAAAATTGATAGAAAGATTTTCATCACTAGGCAAGGTCAGCCCTCCCTGCCCTAGAAATCATAGAGTGATAGAATTGAACAAAATCAAGCGCTTCCTAAACGTCAAACACGCCTTTAGGATGTAAGAATCTCAAATCCATTTTTTGTGCGACTTGAAATCATTTTCGTGCCTATAAATTGAACCATCGAGCACTTCCTTAGAAGGATCAAATAATATAAAAGAAAGCTACGAAGCATTCATCTGTCTTGCCCTCGTGGTTGAAGAAAATAAGAATGGCAAATAAACAATAATTAAAGCACCTTCAAAGCATGATTGAAAAGACAATCTTAGTGATATGAAGTTGTAGAAGGGATAATATCCAAAAAATATTTAATGACTGCTTTACGATTAAGAATTTACAAGATCCAAGTTGCATGGAATACTTGACAAGGATGACAAGTGTGAACATAAACCAAGCATTTAGGAATATTTAATGATAAATTAACGGGAGAATATCAAGTTTGATTTAAAAGACAGAAATGTACTTAGATCCATATTAGAAAAAATTCAAGCAGCGCCAGTATTTAACGGTAGATGAAAAATACTAAGCAATAAGAAAAAGAAAAACACACAAATCAGCAGCCACTGCCACAAAAGATCATCACAAAATAAACCCAGATTCCATTAAAGGGAAATGTCATGGGTCTCCCTGTAACATTTGATAGAGGTGTACTAATATATATAACACACACAAGGTAAGATGACAATCTAGTAAAACTATTCTCCAATTATCATTCTTAACTCTACCAACATGCACATCCTCCTACCACAAACTCATGTCGCCTACAACACTCTCGTGAGCATCGTCCTAGCTTGTGTTACACCTCGCACGAACTATTGACCTCTCTCCAACACCTTGGACTTTGATCTCCCTATCACTCTTTGTCCAGTTTAAAGCAGCCAATGAGCTTCGCCTTTGTTATTATTAACTATAAACACTTCTTGAACTCAAGTATAACCTTATGTCAAACTACAACCTTTACCAACATTTACTTCTTTTTGAAAACAACAATCCGCATATTAGTGCTCATTGTAAAGCCACCTACAAGATTTCATATGAAATGTTGTTGCTAACCTCCAAAAATGGCACACCTCTCCATGCTATCACCACACAATTTCAAATCTCTCTTATAGCTAGCCAGCATCAAACAATTAAAAACTTTACTCCGAAATCTGTCTAAAGCAATGAATGAGCATGTGGCTTTTGTTCTTACTGTGCCGACACTCTTCAGTGATAAATCTATTCATGCTCCCCTTAAAGCCCGTATTTAAAAATCTAATATCGTATTTTATAACACTGATCTCATTGTTGACAATTCACCCTCAATTTACACTACCCTCTCTTGGTCAAGCCCCACTTACATCATTTGTAACCTATGAGCAACTAAACCTTTAAAAGTACTTCATCTCTAGTCATTCTTGCTTCCAAAGGAGTAACTATCTTTGACGCCACAATGAATTTGCAGTGTTATCATATCTACATTGCTAACTATCTAAATAATGAATGTGCAATATTTATTAATGTTACGTTTTCTTATACCGAGAATATCATCATTTATTATATTTTCTTTTATTCCTCTTTTTCTTTCTCATATACAAGCACTTGAATGCTTGTACTAACATGACAACTCAACAAAGATGAAGTCATTTTCAATTCTCTCCCTTCTAATAGCATGCATATGAATTTTTTTCTAGATTTATATTCATAAATATCTCATTTATTTTTTCTTTGAAAAGGGCTACAAGGACAATCACAGTTTTCTTATGTTGCCTTTGTTTTTCAAGACAAGCTAACCTAACCTAGAAAGGCTAACCACAGGCCTCCTCAGTTCAAACCAAAGTAGAATTCTCCCCCAATGTCTACAATATTGGAAATAAAATTTCCTTAAGCAACTAAATGTGATTGGACCATCCACATCTGTAGTGCATTGCCATAAAATACAAGAGCAAACGCTGGGGTAAAAAAGCTAGTTAAATGTATACCAAATCAAAAAATTAATTTAGTAGAATAAGTTTTAACAAATCCTAGCCTAATTGCCAATCGAATTGATAAATCAAACAAGAGCCCTCAAAGTTCAGAAATATACATAAAAACAAGTAAATGTGGGTTATTGTTGGTTAACAGGGTCCTTTGATGCAGAAAGCACTGCATCTCTATTCAACTAACTACGAATTATACTCAGTTAAAGGTTAAAATGAAGATAAGATTATAGCTGAAGAACAATTTATAGCTAAGACACCTTGAAAGCAGTAAAATTTTGATTCACAACCACAGAAAAAGCAACTTTCTCAGGTAAATAACTGATTAATTATTGACACGTTTGTAAGCTTAAGTGGAAAAAGCAAAAGAAAGCTCTCACATCTGTGGAGAAAATCAAAATATTTATTTTTTATTGAATTAACAAATAAGTGGGATAAAGGCTTGTTCATTATTGTTGTTGTTGTTATTGTTGTTGTTGTTATTGTTGTTGTAACTAATAAGATTGGAGGACATCAAAATGCTATGTAAATTGAATGACACAATATAATGGTGACATCAAAGTAATTTGCAGGAAACCAAAAAAAAAATATAGCTACTCCGTACAAAATCAATCGATTTTAAATTCTGAATGGTAAAACAAAAAAGCTTTGAACATTCATTCATCGAAGTATTAAATAAACTAAGAGAACATATGGGCAAAAAAAAAACCTTTTCCAATGATGATGGTTCTGTGGCATTTGCCAATTCAAGAAGACGAAATAGTCCAATTGCAAAGAATCGACTATAGCTGAAGTTTCCCTTAGTCTGGGCTCGATCAGCAATGTCTTTCAGAATATTTTCAACATCTCCTTCTCTTGATGAGAAGTCTATTAAGGAATTAGCATTTTGTAACTGAGCCCACTCTTCCAGCTTCCGTGCATCTTTTCTGTATTTAATAAAATGAGTGACCCATCAATTGGGAGAACCATACAACTTCGAGAATAAAATTCAGAAAAGTAGAGATGAAGGAATGACCAAAGAATGTTTAGCCATGAACAATACTATTATAATATAACAGTCATGCCCCAGTTGGCTTAGCACAAGGTTTCTGATTCTCAGCTCTGTTCAACTCAAGAAATCTTTTATTGCAAAATCAATTACTGTGAAAAAGAAAGATTAATAACATGATCAATAGTAATCAGCAATGCCTTGTAATAAACAATATTTCAGTATATGACCCAATCAAGATACCCAAAGAATATTTCTTAAAATTAAGATATAGCAGTTGACATGAATATTGTTTAAAAAAGAAAACTGTTTGCAATTGAAATTTAAGAGTAAATTGTCCATGAAAATGTAGGAGAAATTTTCTTATTTTTTGTAAGTGGATCTTCATGTTTCAACATGATTTACATCAAAGGAATTGTTTACTCATAACAATTGATAGAAGGCTGATGCAGATCCTCCTCCTTCCCTCTTTCTCCAGTTTCTGAACTCCTATGATGCGATATTCCTGTAGATCTGCAGGAACCTTCCATAACCTGTGGTTTCCTCCACCAATGACCAAGCCCTGTGCCTTCTTCATTTGCTTTATGATTTGGCAACATTTGGGCATCTTTCAGCAGCTCTAGCAGCATTCACTCCTGTAACATCTCTGGTTATGCTCAGTAGCTCTTCTCCTGCAACTTTCTAACAATGGAGTTCTGGTTTGTTGTTCCTGTGGTGCTTGGGGCATGCCAATCTCCAGCACTTGTTCGGCTGCCACCTTTACCACTTTTAGCAATCTTGTTGCACTATCTGAGGAACTTAAACATTATCTACGGGATTTGGCAATATTTCTGATAATGTTATCAAGCTCTGATGAGATTTCTTTCCATACATTTGGACTCAAATGGCTTTGGCGACCAATTCCTACAGTATTTTTTCTTTTGTGATCCTTGTAAAGAAATTACTATAGAAATTCCGATTATAAATAAGGTCAGACCACGTACAAAATAATTAATTGATTCAAAAAAAAAGAAAATTTTAGTTGAATATGGTAATCTTTCTATTATAAAGTTTAATTCTTTGACCAAGTGATTGTTCAAGCGCGAGGCTTGATTCATTAGAAATCTTTCTTGCTACATCTTTTTCTAAAGTATATTTTTGGACTGCTCGTATGATTCAATTTACTCAGATTTTTCTAAAGTATATTTTTGGACTGCTCGTATGATTGAATTTACTCAGATTTCACAAAACTTGGTTTTCAGCAAGTGCATGAATTTCACTCATTATATGTATTTTTGGTTCTAAATTCATCATTTTTATTTGAACACAACTGAACTTGCTTCTCAATTGATTCTTTCATATTTCTATTTCTTATTTTTAGTAAATCACTCTGAAAAGATTGAGTTTGTAGCTTGTGAATTGGGTTCTTGTTGCATAGTTTTTTGCACCACATGTTAAGTTTATATTAAAAATTTGAACTTTAAGATGTCCTACATCAAATTTATTATCAATTCTTGAAAACTCATCTAAGATTGTCCATCCAGCTCGATGTTTGTGAACACTTCAAGTATGGTTTATTAAAAAGCTCACATTTGGCCTCCTTCATTAATGAGTCAAATAAGAACATAATATTTAGCCTAAATTCCTTAACAAACAAAGCACAAATATAGCTTCATTTCTTGGTGAATAGCTTATTATAAGTTTGTTAGGATGTGTATTATTAACTAAAAAATATGTATAATTTCATGAAAAAATTGCAAAAAATTAAACCATAGTGCAGTCTATGTCGTCATTGTTTATGGTGAGATCTTGAATCTGATTCTTAAGTATATTCTTTTGATTCAAAATAATAAAAATCTCTTGTATTTGTTTGTGTTCAAATATGTTCGCAAACGAGCCAAATAATAACAAACCAAACACAAATACAGCAATATCAAAGATTAATGAAAATGAATTGAACACGAACAATAAAAAAATACAACTAGACTTGAGCATAGCTTCATTTTTTTATGTGGCTCGTTTAAACCTCAAGTTGTATCACAGCGTCTGCTAAATAGTGGATAAAGACCCAAGGTCAATTTCTAGCCCAAGATGAAATTTAAATAAAATTTTATCTTAAATAATAATTCTAGACAAGTTCAACATAACTAATATAAGGTTAATAATTATATTTCTATAGCTGATAAGAGATATAATCCTAAGGTATTTTCAAATTAGATATATAACAACAGAAAAAATAAAAGATATATTATAACTTTTCCCAAAGAATTAAATTTACTGAAACAAAACTAGTGAAACTTGCTTATATTTTGGCAAATGATGCTAAAATAAAATTAACTTGAGCAAATATAAATATAAACTTAAAAGCAATTTTTGTTGCATGCCTCATTTTGATCCCACTCAGTCAAACTTTAGACACAATAGAGAAGGATAATCGAAAGACCTATTTCCCACAAGCATTTATCCTAAATTTTACCATTTAAAATTGAGTAGAAAATTAGTTACCCTAAATCATCCCAAGACATACACTACACTTCATAATCATTAATATAGAAGTGAGCATCAGTGTAATGATCAAAGTAAACTATAAGGTTTCTAATAAACTTATATATGATTAATATGAACAAGTCTTTAATTTACATCATAATTTCCTTATAAGATACATCCAAAGCTCTAAAAATATAGAACAAAATTAGGTCACATTAATATGATCCCACCTGCTCATTTCCCTTGGCGACGTAATATACATTTACCTAAAATTTCGACAGAATAAAAGTCTAATAAAAGGTTTAAAATATAATAAAAGAAAAACCAATACACATGTTGATCTTTTTGTACAAACAAAAATACTATTAATCATATAAATAGCTAACTTACTACAGTAAATTTAAATAAAAAAAAGTTTTGATGATTACATAAATTAAAGTTAAAATTATAAGCAATAGATCTAAATGTCTGTAATGAAATGAAATACATCTTCATGTTTCATATAATGTCTATATAGAATTTGACTTCCATATATTTAGTTAAATCTAAAGGAGCCTAGTTCATCACAACTAATATTTAAATCATTAGGGTTATTTTTAAAAAAGGTAATTCACCCATATAATAATAATGTCTCATTTAAATCAAACGCATTTTTCTGATTTTTCTAATATCAAAGAATTATGGATTAATCTAAATATAAAT